CTCAAGAACAATACATGCCCGAATATAATGGCTTTCTTAAATTTTAGGAGGAAATTAATAAACCTGAAGTATTATACACAGCTAATCTTCATAACCAGTACACTAAAGACATCTTCAGACATGAGAGACTAAAAGAGTTTAACACTCACAGATCTCAGGGAAAAAATAGCTATTAAAGGATATACATATTCTCCATAAAAATCAGTCTCCTTTGGACCTTCATGCCCCATTTCCCTTCCTATTATTTCTGAAACACATTGTCTATCAAGTAAATAATTCTCTCTCTTAAACCTTCAATATGTTTCCCTTTGTTTTCCTTTCCCTGAATTCCTCTGAATAATTATTCGTCTTGTATGAACAAACAGAGTATTTGTCTCTCTGCTCCTGTGTCCAGAGTACTGGATACCATTGGAAAAAAAAAAAAATGGTGAAACAAAAGAATTCAGCTCATTAAGCCATGTAAGTTACACACAACCAGGGGTTTCAGTCTAGTTGATATTTCGTTCATGTACACCAGTCATCTCTGTGTACATTCCTTACTTTACTTATTCCAAACTTCTTGTTCTTTCCTCAGACCCTTCATTTATATTCTTATCGTTGCTAGCAAAATTGCTCTGTTTTCAGAGTAAAGTAAATAAACAAAAAGGACATAAACCACCTCAACTTATTTGTGAGAGGCCAAAACCAAAATGAATACAATTCAAAATGTGTCTGTTATTGAAGTCATTGACGTCGTAGAGAAGTGGTTATAATTTCATGTGTACTGTATACCACTCTCATCACATATAAAAATAACCATAGTGCTCATACTGTACTTTTATCTAGAAACAAAGAACTTCCACAAATATTCTCACTCTTGGTAGTTTGGGTTTATAATCTCCAATCATCCTACGAGCAGTGGATGCCTAAAATCACATGGTTATTTGCATGCAGAACTGAGAGTAGAACCCATAACCTCCATTTCCAAATCTCGTCCTCCATTGTGTGCTGCCACTATATGCCAAAATACAAGGGTTTTACCCAAATCTTTCAGGACAAAAAAAAAAAAAAAAAAAAAAAACCTGCACATAGTGTATGTAAAGTTTCCTATTAAAAAAAAGTTTTATGAAGGAAAATATTCCATTATTAAACTAACCACGTCTCTTAGTAAAAATATCAGTTTGATGGAAAGATGCAGGTAAAGAGGTAGTTACCCGTTGAATGGAGTGTTTGGCTACCGCTTTTTCCCCGGTGAAATCCTTCCTCCTCTTCAGTATTGTGGTTACCTCTGATGCCTACATCTGTCCTTGCTCATTGACAAGGTAGCATCTCTAGGTCTGCTAGTGAAATACAGAAACTTTGCTCATAAGTTGTTGGACTGTTTCCATTGTGATTAACAACTGGAAAAGTAGAGTGAGAAGCAAAACAAAATACTGAATTATGAGAAGCACGATTGCACTGAAAGAAAAGAATGTGGCTTTGCCACAATGCAGACTGATTACAAATCTTAGATATGAAATTACTAGCTTTGCGTCCTTAATCCGTAATCATAATGAGTATATAGTCACTTAGTGATTATGTTCTACATGACAGACTTGAGCTAACCACTTCAGCAAAACTCATCAAGAAGTCAAAATGTAATCGAATTCAACATTCTGATTATCATGATATGTCTGATACTGGTATTCAAGTGTCTGGACTTGTTAGGTAGAAGCCAATACTACCATTCGTCTCATGTGACAGAAACTGAGTCTTAGAGAGTTTCTGTTGCCTAAAGTAACACAGAATGTGCTAGAAGCAGGATTCAGAAGCAAGCAGTTCTCCCCGACCCCTGTGGTCTTAACTAAGCACTTGAAGACCCACGGTGCAGGTGCCAGGTCTGGCGCACAGTACATTTCATTACGACTGAACAGTGTTTTTAAAATGAAAACATCTCCCTCGATGTCTGGATTTCTGGTTTCTAAAACATTGGAAAGTCATGCAACAGTGAGCTGATATTGGAGCACGGCAGCAGCTAGCTGGGGCGGAGAAGCAGCCGCCCCTTCAGACAAGGCACGTGCTCACTGGTCCCCACCACTCCACACTGCACTACCCCCACCTGCTTCCTACACAGACAACACCTGCCAGACCCTTGAAGGCCAGAACCCCATACATTCCCTCTGAGCAAGCTATATTGTCTCTGAGTCTTATTTCACAATCTGATTAAATTGGAATATCGAGGCCTAGTGCACACTGCTATATGAGAAATAAGTTTGACAATGTACGCTGATGCATTAGAAAATACTAGACATTTAATAAGTAGTATAATTATTGTTGCTATTTTTATTCATAAAAGCATGAAAACTAAGTAAAGTTTTCAACCAAGGAATCAACATTAGCCCCTTGCAGAGACCGTTATTTCTACCAAAAGAGCCAATTAATTTAGGTTCTGAATATGCTGATCTCGGAAACACTTGCTAAAACTAGCTTGCTACCAAATACACCAACGACAACAAAAACGGCAACAAAAACCTCTACACAGTTATTGGGTATGTCCCATGTGCAAAGTACCTCGTGATATGGTCAATATCCCCAGAGTGTCTGATCCAGGAAGTAGAAGCAGACACACAAGTAGCTAATTCCATGCAACAGACTATGGATGCACAAAGAGTATATATTACTTATGTATTGATTTACACCTAACCTTTTGCCATAAATTATATACATGGAAGGACAAAAATTAATAGGTAATCAGAGCAAAGAGGATTTAAGAGAGGTAAAGCTGAAGAAAGTGAGGGAAGGTAGGTACTTCCTACCGAGAAGGGCTACCATCTTGGTTCAGGAAGTGCTGGTAACCAAAACTAAAAGAGCAGCACAGTCCATGCTAGGATTCGGGTGTCTGGAAGATTATAAACTCACCAATGGCTCAGGAATGAGCATAACTTTCTTCATACTAAGATCTGAGAGAAAAATACTCTCAAAATCGGGCTTTTTGGTAAGAAGAACTTGCATGTATGGTTTCCGGCAGAACCTTGGATTGCTGCATCAGAAGTTGGCCAACTTTTTCCACAAAGGACCAAGTAGTAAATGTTTTAGTCTCTGTGGGTTATACAACTTCCCAGCAGTGTTAGAGAACTCTGTTGTTATAATGAGAAAATAGTCGTGGGCGATATGGAAACAAATAGCCCGGCTGCGTTCCAATAAAACTTTATGTATGAAAACCGGCAACAGAATGGATTTGGCTCATAGGCTATAGTTTGCCAGTCTGTGGTGTCTGTTTTCAACTAAAAGCAGAGTTGTCAGCTTCAGAAGGTATTTTTTGACAGTCATAGTAGTGAAAAAATAAAAGCTATTTTTCAGACTGTTGATCATTTCATGGAGCTGATTGCCTACCCCTCATGGCATGGAGCAGAATGTAGCTAGTATGTCAAAATCCTGTACATTAAATAGTGGTGCTTCTTGCATTGTGTAGATATGCTGGCTGTCACCTACAACACTGCAGGAAGGAGTGGATGAGATAGGTTTGCCCTTGGCTCAGGTGGCCATGCAGAGTGGGACCAAGCAGGGCCTATGCCTTGCTAACACTCAAGGAGTCTGGAGGCCCCCAGAGCTCACAACAAGTGCAATTAACATAATGTAGCTTCCAAAGAGACCTTCAGAGATAATTAATATGCACCATAGTGTGGCAGAGATCTCGGGAAGGAGAGTTCACCAATTTCTAGAACACTTTCCCAAAAGTTCTGGGGAAATCATAGACCTCAAACAACAGATTTTGTTTTGTTTTGTTTTGTTTTGTTTAATCAAATTAAATGTGACTGAAAATGCCCTTTATATGTATACTCATTCCTTCTTCTGAAGAGTCAATAGTAATTTCAGAGTGACATACTAGCCCATCTCAATCCATACAATTCATAATCTCTGGTCTTTTCATCAAATAGTTCAAAAAAATGCTATATATCAAAGTGATCATTTCAGGGCCAGGCACTTAGTAGTTACTGGGAGAAAATGTATTGAAATTGAATCTGTATCTTCATAGAGAAGCAACATTAATTTCAGCTAAACAAAATTACTGACATATGCAGAGAATGAAGTGATTAATCGAGTCTCGAGAGGTCATGGAAGGCTTCACTGAGGTTTCATTTGAACTCTGTCTTAATGGAATTAGACATGTACCAGATAGGCAGAGAGCGTAGGAGTTAGCAAGAGGCACAGGACACTCCTGGCAGAAGAAACAGCATGGGCAAATGCATGTGGCACAGGGAGCATGTAAGTTTCTAGAAGGGGAGGCACTTTTGTTTGGATGTGAAGAAACCGTGAGAGATGAGCTGGAGAGGCCAGCAGGACACTATGCAGTTAAAAGGAATGTTGAGGGCGCCTGGGTGGCTCAGTGGGTTAAGCCGCTGCCTTCGGCTCGGGTCATGATCTCAGGGTCCTGGGATCGAGTCCCGCGTCAGGTTCTCTGCTCGGCAGAGATCCTGCTTCCCTCTCTCTCTCTCTCTCTGCCTGCCTCTCCATCTACTTGTGGTCTCTCTCTGTCAAATAAATAAAATCTTAAAAAAAAAAAAAAAAAAGGAATGTTGAGGCAGAAGACCAACAGTGGGGAGCCTCCACCCATGAGCTAAGATTCTATGGTAGACTTGTCTGGGAAAATGAATCAGACAATGATCAGGGGCCTGCCCTTGTTTGGGGCCCTGAGCAGAGGAACAGAGAGAACAGATGGGCAGCAGGTGTCTATACGTCAGTCTGTAACACCCACAACACCAGCGGCACCATTCTTGCCAAGAATGCCTTTCCTAAGTCACACTGAAAGGGTGCCGTGCCAAGCAAAGAGGGAACTGAGTCAGTGTTCTCCTGGCACCAAAGACCTGCACACAGCATCTGACAAGAAGCCATTCAGGTGAGGGTCCTCAGGCTCTCTGTCCTCTCGAACCTTCACAGGGCTGAATGAATTGCAATAAATTATACTTTCTTTCCCTGGAATGAAAAAGTGGTGGGCGGGGTGGGGGGGAAGGTATAATAAAAAAATGAAAGTCTCCCTTTGTTTTCTACACCTCCCCACGGGGCCTTCCGTTCATTAGGATCCGGTTAGACTTGCTGGAGGTTCCCCGAAGCTACCGTGGCTTTTACTGCTGGCCTCCATTGCACCCCAAGCAGCCGGCAGCCCCACTCTGTACCAGCTTTTATTGAAAGGCCTTCTCGCCTTCAGAAAACACACCGCTGCCTGATCCAAATGAGAAGAGATGCCTTTTGAATAATGCTAAGATTTCCAGACAATAATCACTCTAGCACTTGGAAACAGAATGCTTGTGTTTCGTTGTGATCTCTTCATAGGTTCCTAGACCTCAAACTCCACAGGGAATGTCACAAATTCACATGTTATCTCTGAAAAACAGATACAGCACTTGCAGCTCTGATTTACCTAAAAAGGGGTGTAAGGGGGAAAAAAAGAGAAAAACAACATATTCATGTAGCCAGACAGCTCCCTGTCAGTGACACATACGGAGAAGCTTAAATTGTAAGTTATTCTTGGAAAAGGGTGAATGTTTTCTATTAACAACTTGCCTTCCAGATCTTTTTTCTTTTTTTCTTTTAGCAGAGAGCTTTAGGCTAATTTTTATCTATTCCCTTTTTCACTATAGAACTTGTCAAAAGGCAAAGTAGCATAGAAAGTAGTGATGGGTACAGCCAGGGGTCCTAGACAGTGTGGTACCAGAAGAGTCAAGAGACAGCCGAAGCCAACCCCCACTTTGAGATGGGTTTGAAGCCTACCACTCACTAGCAGGGGAACCAGAATGCAGACTTCAAAATCCCTGAGGGTCAATTTCATATCGTCCTCAATAGCTCATTAGATTGGGAAGATTGAGTTAGACAATGTGTTGATGCAGATCCTCCAAGAAGCAGCATCGGGGAAGCTCATTAGGGGAAACATCTCTGAGGTAAAGTGAGGTGAGAACAGGTAGAGGCTGGGAGAGGAGTCAGACCCAAATGCAGTTCGGCCCCTGTAAAGGAGAGAGGGAAAGAAAAAAAGGTGAGTGGAAGAGTTTTGATGGTAGCTCGAAGCGAGTTCTGCAAAGCTGATGGGGAGAACACTCCACCTCCCAGAAACAGAGCTGCCTTGGCAGCTTAGTTGTTGGCTAGGAGCAGCCCATGGGAAGAGTGACCTTGTGATATTGTGATTTATGAAAAGAAATACATACTTGGTCTTTGTCCCATTTCTGGCACTCCTAAAACCCTTGGAATTTCCTAAGTGATGCAAACCATAAAGGTGACTTTCGTCATGTTAATGTGACCTTTGGAATGTCACCTAAGATTGGCAGCAGGTTCCCAACCAACCTTGTGTTAGAAGGTTGGAACTTTCAGTCCCACACCTCCAGGAAAGAGAAGGGGGCTGGAGATTGAGATCAATTACCAATGGCCACGGTCTCATCAATTATGCCTTTGAAAGGAGGCTTCTATTAAAAAAAACAAAAAGACAGGGTTCAGTGCTTCTGAGAGTTGATAAAAAATTGAAGATTCGGGGAGAGTGGCCCACCTGGAGAGGGCATGGAAGCTCGGTGTTCTTCACTTTGCCCTCCCATCTCTCCTATCTGTCTGTTCCTGAGTTCTAGCCTTTTATGATAAACCAATGACCAAGGAAAGTGTTTATCTGAATTCTGTGAGCCATTCTAACAAATTAATCAAATGCAAGGAGGCAGTCATTGGCACCTTGGATTTATAGCCAGTTGATCAGAAGTACAGGTAAAAACCTGGGGTGGGAAGTGGAGGAACACTCTTGAAGGACCGAGTCCCTAATTTGTGGGATCTGATACTATCTCAGGGTAGGTAGTGCTAGAATTGAGTTGAATTCCAGCTGGTGTCTGGGAATTGCTTGGTGGTGTGGGGAGCCCCTCCCCCACACACGTCAGAATTGGTGACCAGATCCTTTCAGTCTCTATACAAAACTAGTGACAGATTTTTAGAGTACAGCAGCCAGGGCCATATGGTTACACTCCCTGGGAAAGCAGATCAGAGAGATGTACCCTCAGCCACCACCAACTGCATATGAAAGCTCTTTGCATAGTAACTGACATAAAGAAAACAATCAATTAATGTATTTTTCCCCTTACATGTCAGACATTTTGTTCATAGGCTGAACGAAGGGCATAGTCTTTCCGGTTTCAATCAAATTTGAGATGTAAGTTGGCCTTCACCTGACAAAATACAGTAAGACAAACTGGTAGCATCTCATTCAAATTTGGAAAAGGGATGTTTGCATCCTAAACATGGAGGAGAATAGAGAATGAAAGGTTAGTTAGGACTCTTCCTGCAAACACAAGCTGTCATCCCCACTGGCCAGTAAGAACAGAGTTCCTAGGATAGCAATGTCATGCCAAGATTTACAGGTCAAGGGACAAAACATCTCTAGCCCGTTTACACAGGCTTACATCATGACCAACAAGCTTTCAAGCAATAAATTCCTGCTCTTCTAGTTTCCACATGTTAAAACCTTTCATTCCCTGACATCCAGTAAAATCACCTGCTGCTTCAGATCTTCAACCTTTCAGCTTCTGTGGCTTCCAACACTGGAGTCCTCAAACTTCAGCCTCTCCTTCTTACTGATCAAAGTTTTCCTGTGAAAACAGAAGTCTATATTTCGTGTCCATATAGCATTCTAATTAGACACCTTTGTGGAGGAACATACAGGTAATGCATATCTGTACATAGACTTGGTTTCAGGCATCCAGGAGTCCCACACCAGACTCTCACTAGCTTTTTGAACTTGGTGACAAAATTAACCTCAGTGAGTCTCAATTTCTTCATACACAAACTTGAAATAATAGAATCTGACCTTGAAAAACTGTCATGAGCTTTAGAGACAATATACGCAAATCACAGAGAACAGCGTCAAAAACATAATAGGTACTCAATAAATCATAACCAATAATGTCTTTCCTAGCCTCTCAATCTTACCAAAATACATAATAAAAGTATGCACTACATAATTCCATACAAGTTACCCAAAAAATGCAACAGTAAACTCCTATAATAATAATGCCATTCTTGGTGTGCCTGGGTGGCTCAGTCAGGTAAGTGTCTGCCTTCTGCTCAGGTCATGATCCTGGGGTTCTGGGATTAAGCTGTGGGGAGCCTGTTTCTCCCTCTCCTTCTGCTGCAGCTCCCTCTTGTGCTTGTACTCTCTCTATCTCTCTCAAATAAATAAATAAAATCTTAAAAAATAATAATTAATGCTTTTCCGGTTGCTTAGTAAGTATATGATTATGGGTTGATATATGGCTTAAAAGAGTGAACATAAAATTTTAGAATAATGATAAATACTCATCATAAAACTGGAAGTAGAATTTATCTCTGTTCTGATTCAACCCCGTGGTGCACAGTGATTGAATTGTACATGTAAAATTAGAAGGTAAACCATACCAAATATTTGCCACCATTTGCTTTACAGCATCTTTCAGATCAAAGCACCACTAATTCTTATAAACCAGGAGCAGAGCATCAGCATTAGATATTTTTCCTACATCTTCTTTAATATTTTCTTAGTTTATTTCATACTTTGATTTTGCATGCCTCAGTCCAAGTATACACTCCTTTTCAACCAAATTGACTTCTTTCCCCTAGGAAACAGGGCCTTCTCTGAAATGTACGGATCCTCTCCTGCCAAGAAGTGAAAAGTCTTCCTATCTTAATCAGGTCAAGGCCCCTCCTTGCTAGGCCCAGAGGTTACTCAGCAGTAGCTGGTACAGAGAATGATTCCCTGCTCTGCAACTGTCTGTTACCATGGAGACATGCTAATTAGTGAATGATGAGAAAGCAGAGGAGTTCAGAGTCTATAAAATCATGAGAAAGAAGGGGAAATGAATGGAAAAATATGGATGAAGAGAAATTAGGGTATTTTATGGGGCAAACTGTAAGTAAAGGTGTCCTGGAATGATGGGATCATAATGAAGAAGAAGAGGGCTATGAAGAGAGAATGTCAATGACAGAGTTTCATAGATTGTAAGTTTGAAGAAACGAAGGGTAGAGACCGTAGCTCGAGAAAAGAAATAGAAAACTCCAACTGAGCTAGGTACAAGTCATAAGATCACAGAATGTTAATGACTTGAATTTTACAGGTGTTGAATGATGGGATTTTTTTTTTTCTAAAGGGAAGGAAATGTGACATTCAGGGCCATCAAAGTAGATTGCAAATCTCTGCAGACATTTCTCTGTTATAACTTAAATTCACATTTGCCACTTCGACATAATTTGCAAGGTGGAGTGTCAATGTGCCAATGCACAGGATTTCTGTCCAATTCCCTGAGCTAAATGAGCCCTTGGATTTCCATTTCCAGACCTCCAAGGAATAACAGCATAGAAAAGGAATTTAGCTGAAAATTTCAGGAACAGTGTTTTAAAAAAGATAATATAGAGATAAAACTATTACACTAAGGGGCATATGAGTACTTACATATCTTGGGTGTTTTGAAAATTTGAGTCGGTGATAACATCTGTCTTCTAAAGAGATAGTTTCATGTTATATTAATATAAATATCTTCTATTTTGTTTATTTTATTATACATTATTTAATACACATTATTGTTGTACTACATTTGATCCATCAACATATTTTTAAAAAGAGATCTTATACATATGTAAAGATATTGCTGATATTCCAATAAATAAAATAAACAAGCTACTTATGAAGGTCAAGGTGTTATGAGCAAAATCAGTTCAAACGTGAAGGAAGCGAACAGACCTGTCGTGTTAACTGGAGGAAAGTTATGCAGTTAGGCGAGTCTCATGTGCAGTTAATCTTATCCACCTTGTATATGAACAAATTCATAGCATTTCAGACCTTGGAAATCCCTTTCATATTGTGATGTATATTAAGAAATATGTATTTGGTCTCTGTCGTGGTTCCTGGCACAGAGCTCTTAACACCCTTAGAATTTCCAAGTGATGAGAACAACAAAAATGCCTTTGTTATTTGATAAAAAGGTAACTTTTGGACCTCACCTAAAATTAGGGGTTGCCAGGAAAAAAAACAATTTGGTAAGAGGGTTGGAACTTTCAGTGGCACTTCCCTGGCCCCCAGGGAGAAGAAAGGGACTGGAGATTGAGATCAATCACCAGTGGCCGAGGGATGTGCTGGGAGTCACCAGAAGGAAGCTCTGTGTTCTTTCCCCATACCTTACCCCTGCATCTCCTCGATCTGTCTGTTCCTGAGTTGGATCCTTTTGTAATAAACAGGTAATCCATTGAATAAATGGGTTTCCTGAGTTCTCTGAGCCACTCTAGCAAATTAATCAACACCAAGGAGGGGGTGGTGGGAATCTCCAATCTGTAGCCTCTTGGTAGGTCAAACGCACAAGGGGCAACAGGAACTTGCAATTTGCATCTGAAGTGGTGCGAGGGGCAGTTCTGGGAGCTCTGACACCATCTCTTGATACGTAGGGTCATAAGTGAGTTGAATTGTAGGATACTGAGCTTGTGTCCAAGAATTGCTTTTTGTTGGTGTGGGGAAACTCCTCAACTACCACCACCACCCATGCCACACACACACACACACACACACACACATCAGAATTGGTAACTAGAACCTATTACCCTCTACCTTGGATTTCCCCACCCTAAATTTTCTGCAAGTACTGTCTACCCAGATTATCTTCCATTCTACAGAGTTCCTCTCACCCTTCAAATCCAAGTCAAATACCGTCTTCTCAGTAGAGGCCTGCCTAAGCCTTCACATGTAGTTAGCATAAGTGTCCTTCTTAATGAACCTGCAGAAATCTGTACCTGCCTCTTTTATGGAGTTTAATTTTTGGCAGTAAGTAATTCCTGACATTTTGGCCATTTATTCAAATAACTCATTCCCAAATATAAATTCCTCAAGGATAGAGACTATATTTCATGCATCTTTATTCTCCATCCAGTATTCCCAGCACCAAGCATCATGCTTAGAATATAGCAGATACTTTTTAAACATTTATTCAATAAATCTAGTAAATTACAATCAATAACTAATATGTATAGTGATTTGAATTCTACGAAAGGATTTTGTACTACTAGAGTATGAGCTCCTTAAATACCCATGCCTTTTTTGCTCACCTCTATCGTTAGGACATTAACTCAATAGGTCCTCAATTAAAATGTGTTAAATGAGTATCTAGATCCAGAATTATCCAAAGACCCTGATTTCCTTTCAAAATTAAGTTCCTTAGCAACATGGTGCCTAAAAATGTCTCTTCTGTCAACAGAAATCAAATGCATGTATATTAAAAGTTAACATTTCCTAGTCAATGAATTTTCCCCTAGAGCTGACAAATGCTAGAAGTGAATGTTCTAGAAGCTACAGGAGCTTCCCAAAACAACTCCAACTCTAATCAGTTGGACGGACATAGTCCTAAGTCAATTTCAGGTTCTAACACCAGGAGGAGCTGGCCTGCAGGTGAGGCCAGGTGGAGTGAAGCTCACCTTGCTGGTGAGGAAGCAAGAACGTCGGCCCTCTACAGACTCATTACTTTATTCTTTATTACTCTGCTTTCATTAAAGTCTTGTCATCACAGTTTTAAAAATCACCACGTTAATGAATAGTGCATTTAAAGTGTTTCTGAAAAGCATCATTTGAAGGAGGGAGAATCATGGCTCCTGGAAATTAACTGTCCTTCCTGTTTTAATTCTAGCTGTACTTCTGAGTTAGCCAGATGTGTTAAGGAAGTATTTGGATTTACAAGCATGACATACATAACTCCAAATCACTTTCTAGCCCCCAAATATCTTCCCCTTCGATCCTGCAAGGGGATCTAAACTTCCACAATAATAATCATTGTTGGTAAAGAATTTGATGGCTCACATTTTTTTTTTTATAATTCTATTAGCTCTCCCCATCTAACAATACTAAAAATAAGACACATAGGGCAGATCCATTGGGATGGAGCAGAGGAAAAGAGTGGCACATGGTGTACTAGGAAGGAGGGCAGGCCACATGGTAATGCTTTAGTTAAAGATTCTAAGCAAGCAGTGAATAGCTTGAGAATACTAAAACTGAGGACCACAAGTTCAAGCCAGTGAAGGGAAGGGAGTTAGGAAAGGAATATGGAAAGAGCTAAATACAAATTCCTTATCACATGGTTTTGACTAGGGACAACCATGGCAAAAATCAAAACTAGGTTATCTTGCTCTGAGCCATGACACACAAAAGCATGGCATGACCTTTTGAACATTTGCTACTGTGCCATACATCAGACCGTCTCTTCTTATCAAAATATAGGACAAGTGTATATTTATAAATGTGGTGTGTATGTGCATGTATTTTTTTTCAACATGCCCAATCAGGTGATAAACCCAGGGATCCTCCTAAATGAGATGTAAATCAGATAGTCTCCCAATAGAATTTTAAATGAAAAAGACTCTATAAACTTATAAATTCATCCCCATGCATGAGGGTTTTTTTTGGTCACAAATGCACTACCCCAGATAAGAGAACAGAAGTACATCAGGATAAATCCATTACCTGAAAGCCTAAACCCTAGATTATCATTATCCCAACAATATCATCCCCACAAATGTCAGGCAACACACTTAGCATCAGGTTATGAAAACACCTCGGTATTACATAATTATTACTTCAACGTCACACAAAATATTTTTGGAAATTTCCCCAAAATTCTACTTCTCAGATTAACAGAGCAT